GATGGTGACAATTGCTGTCCAAGGGTGGTGACGGTGCTTCTCCATGAAGTCGAGCCACCTTAAGAGAGACGTGCGCTACATACCAGATCACCAGGAGAAAATAAAGGAAAAAAAGATCCAACTAGGGATGCACAGATACTTTTCGAGTACCAGTGCAGATACTTGGCATTTTCATGAGAACTACCAGGGTTGCAGCGGTTGCGGCTGGGACCTGGCTCTGGCGCTCCACCACTGTCCTGAAATCATTAGTCTGTATTGTTTTAGAAAAACTGTCACATGACAATAAACAAAAATGTGTAAGTACTCGTACTTGTAAGTACTCGCAAAACTGGTATCTGTGCATCCCTTTATTTATAAAAACAAAATCGTACATTAAAACAGAGATGTACAAATCCCAGGAGCTCTGTGTGCTCCTCACAAATGACAGCTGCCTCCTAATTTTTCTCTAGTCTAGTCTTGGAGCTCAAGTATCGGTACATGTACTCGTACTTGTACCGAGTACTGTACTCGGTATCTGTGCAACCCTAGATCCAACAAAGAAAACGAATGCAGCAACCACATTTAAGGATTGATAAGATGCAACCTATTGTTTTTTTGTCTTGGGTTTAGACATGCTTTAAAGTCAACGTATGTTTTTCACTTTAGGGGAGCTTTATTCCCTTTTTGACACTACATTGTAACGCGTGCATGGGGAGAAAGAACTGTTTGTGTAAATTGTTAGTATATCATTGAGATAAGATTAGTCAGGTTGACAAAGGCACAAAATTAGCAACTTTTTCACCACAGGTTTGAGATTTTTTTAAAATTCAAACAACATTGAGTTAACAAACATGAACATTTGATGCTTGCACAGTGAATTCAAGTCTCATCCAGACTAACTAATGTCACTGTACAAGCAAAGCCAGCTCTTTCCCAGTAAACGTGACGAGAGGACAGCGGAGCCCAACGAGCAGCTTGCCGGCCGTTGTAATTACATGGCCAGCTGGGAGCTTTACATTCAAGCGATCGAGCATCTCGAGATGAGCGATCGCTTGTATTACCAGCAGCTGTCACTGCCTCTGTGACAGGTGATCAAAGAGAGATCAGTACACCATCTCCCTTTGATCTCCTCTCAGTCCCAGAATGCAGGAAGTGATGTATATTACATCACTTCCTGCATTCAGTGTCACTTTCCAGCTACAGAAGCTTCTCTGAGGGTCCCTAGATGACATTAAAAAATTTTTTTAAAGAAAAAATAAATGTTTTTAAGTCCTCCGCCCCCCACATACACATGGCGATATACGTCGGGTGCGCCTACGCGCGGAAACAATGATTGCGCCTATTGTGCCGCACATGTTACATATAACCGTGAACGTCGGAGTGAGAGCAATAGTTTTAGGGCCATTAATTACTGATAACACTAAACTGATGAGCGGTAAAAGCGTTTTAAGTGTCGCCTATGGCCAATTTTCAGTGTGGTCGTTTTTTTGTGGTTTTACGGGCGCACGCAATTTTAAGGCTTGACATGCTTGGTGTCTATTTACCCAACGTGACCCGTCTGTTATGTTTTACCAAAAATATGGGTAAGAATAGATGTTTTAGAACATAATTAAAACATTTTTTAATTCGAAATTCACTGTACTTTTTTTTTATTAAATAGTAAAAAATAACCCCCCAGCGGTGATTTTATATACCTCCAAAAGAAAGCTCTGTCTGTCCCCCAAAAATGTTAACATAAATTGCAAGGCTATGGTCCGGTCATGTTGACTGGTGAGACACCCTCAAATTTTTCAATACTGTACCTCAGACGTGGTGTCATGGAACCATAGTATTTACAATCGACAGGACTTTGCTTCCTCATGTCAGAGTTTCCAGCAAGGAGAACAGTGAGTAACACAGTAGTGATATCACAAAATTAATCTCCCGAGACTCAGTCACAGACTGCAGTACCTTACATTTACATTGAAGATTTAGAGCTATGGCTGTAAAGCATAGAAGTGGCTAGGCACCTTTACATATCAGGAGGGGCATTTATATTTTCCAGGAGGAATTTAGGACAAAAAAACAGGTAAATTTTTCAGGGCACTGCTTATAAACAAATAACATTTCTAAATGTTCCCTTTTTGACCTCATTCACAAGGATGCAGAGGCCATTCAGCGCCAAGATTGTGTCTATTTATGTACCCAGAAGGCGCCTAGGGGTCTCAGTTGTTTGCATACAGCTGCGGGTAGCAGTCTGTACAAATCAATTACAGATGCTGCAGCTGTACGTATTTACCCACACAACCAAGCAGCTCTGGATGCAGACAGTTTGCATCCAGGGCTACTTATCTGTCCTTGTAAGGATATAAACACGTGTACAGATGTGTTGCCGTCTGCACATGGATGTACTTAAACACCTGTAACTCCCACGTGCCTCCTGGCCACATAAACACACATTCATCAGGTTGTATGGGCCTCTGCACCCATGTAAATGTAGCCTAAAATAGCAAACCTTCACTAACACAAAAAACGATATCAAGAAGAAAACTGTCCGCTATAATAAATTAAAACATTCTGCTGAAAAAATCCAAAATTGACACCCTTCCATAAGATCCTAGCCTTGCAACTCCTGAATTGTTATCTGTGCACTACAATATTATATATGCTATTCTTTGTTGCTGTATTATATTACTCTTGTGCCTCATTCTGCAAAACATACAAGTTCTAAAGGGCAACATATTGCCATAAACGTCAATAAACAGATGACTCTTGTTATTCCATATCTCATAAGACACAGGTTTTTTGGTTCATATAGGAGTTGAGATAAAGAGTCTCTAGTCTTATACTAAATTGCTGGCGAAAAGACGGCTGCTTATATGTGTTAACAAGTAAATCTGCTCCACAATCTGTTGCGTTTCCTAGTCTGTGCTGTAGATTATCCAACATTTAACCTAATCAAGATGTTCTTTCCTAGCATTACTGCACATTCACAGGCAGCTTTGCACAATTAGTTGTCTTGGCTTCAAGTTCTCTTAAACATTCTGAGCTGTTTTCATCAAGGTTTGTCCCCAGCATAGGGAACAGCAATAAGATCATGGACATGGGAGCTTAGCTCTATTTAAAAGTTAGCCAGCAACTGAAACACGATTTTCATCCCCTTGGTAGAAATGCTCAGTTTGGGCCTTGCATGCCAGCATTCTTCCTTAATTTTATGTCAGCTGCTGGGAATGGCTTTTATTCTGCTGTAAGCTATTTACCATGGAAGATATTTAACCCACATAATGAGTTCCTGAGAATAGCTTACATCAGTGTAACTTTCCAAGCACATATAATATTCTCTCCTGGTAGTTTGAAGGAACAGTTGGAATACACTGCGGATGTTTCACTGACATTTTTCTCATAATTGGTGTTATGCAGCACAAGTGTTTGAGAGCTTTTCTTCTAAAGAGACCCTGTTATGCCTCTAAATGAATAAAAATGCCACTTCCCTGCTATAGAAGAGGTAGTATATGTGTGTCTCCTATGTTCCCATTGTTCCAGCGCTGCAGCCTCTGACAGTCTCTTAGGCATTAAACACTTTCGGGAGTGTCAGATGCCTATGTCCCCCTGCATCATGCTGTGGTTCCTTTCTCTGAGCTTTATGTCATTGCTGAGTCCTGTATAAAGTGCTGTGTAATATAAATGTTATAGATTGCAAGAAAAATATTAAGCGATAAAAAATATTGTCTAAACACAAGAGCAAGGTGTATCCTTAATTAAATCTTGGTGTTCTTTGTCTCTTCTGGATCTGTGCACAATTTTAGCTAGGGATGCACAGATACCAGTGCAGATACTTGGCATTTTCACGAGAACTACCAGGTTTGCAGTGGTTGTAGTGGTGACTGGGCCCTGGTGCTCCACCACTGTCCTGAAATCATTAGTCTGTAATGTTTTCGAAAAACTGTCACATGACACTAGCAATAATTGTATTTGTGAATTTGTGAGTACTTGGACAAGTATTGGTACTTGTTCTGGAAAAAGTGGTATTGGTGCATTCCTAAATATATATATATACACAAATCATACATTATAACAGGGATGCACAAATCCCAGGAACCCTGTAGCCAATGCTCCTTAATGACAGCTGCCTCCTAACTTTTGAGTTTTTCTCTAGTCTAGTCTTGGAGCTGGAAAAGTATCAGAGCTTGTATGCACAGTATCTGTGCATCCCTAATTTTAGCATCAAACAATTTGTGACTCTGTTCAGGAGTTTTCTGTAATAAAGACTGGTCACTATCTTTATGTCTTCTTGTGCAGGGCGGCCAAGTTTGTGCCTGCCCAATGCAGTTTTCTGCTGTACTTTTGATTCACATCATTAAACTACCAGTACCTTCCGATCCAAAAAAAATTGAGGAATAAGAATATTGTCTGTTTGAGAAGTGTGAAAAAATACCTTTTAATCCTTCCAGAAAACTAGTAAGCTGAAAACTTAATGTGCTCTCTGCCTCTGCTCCCCTGTTATCAGTTAGCATTGTTCAAAGCTCACGCTGTGGAGTACGGAAAACCTCCCCTATGTTATGGATATTAGAAAGGAGCAGGTGCCCTGTAGTTCGAACACATGTTCCGTCCTAGAGTGACAACACTGCTCCTCCATAGATACAATACAGTGAGCAAGCATGGTCAACCTAGAATGGAAAGCATGTTACTGGCAGGATCACCAGTTAAAGAATAGAGAAACATTGCCCTAACATTACAGAGAATATATACCGTTGTTACTTTTATAGTTTTGCCTTTTTGAGGAAAAAGGCAAAAAGAAAATGGCAAAAAAATTATTAGAAAACCTTGATAGCATAAACGTGGCTGAGCCTGGTTAAAAAAAAAAAGACCCATTTAGTCTTTAGTAGAGAATAAACAACAACTTCAGTCTGAATCTGTATACACAGTTCTTCAAATCGCTAACATAATTCTGCATTAATTATTTTTGGTTACCTTGTACTAGAATGCAACAATAGAGTGGCAGCTTTCCAACTACCACCATGAATGGTTTTTAATTTCCTTACCTTTGCTTGAGGTGGTTGTGGTGGTGGTGGTGGAACATATGGTTGATCAGTGATATAAGTCTTCTTACTGTTAGCAGATGGATATGCTCCAGCAGGTTGCTGGCCTACAGCAGGCGTTAGAGCATAAGCAGGTTCTGGTTTCCATCCACCTTGGTGGACATAGGCAACCTCAGAATTGTTTCTTCCACCGTAGGTCTGTGCTGGTGCATAGTAGGGATCTTGATACTTGATCTGGTTGCCCTGGGAATAGCCATAGCCTGGGTCTACATAACGTACAGGTTGAGGTGGAATATATTCAGGTTCACGAGGGGGTGCAGATTTTTGTGGAGCGTAGTACTGATTTGGGGCAACATTATAAGGCTGTCCTGGTTGAGGACCAGGTGGAACGTACTGAGGGCTAGGTTGAGCAGACTTAACATTGTATGTTGGTCGGTTAGGAGTGGAAGCAGTGGCATAAGGGGCAGGAACAGGCTGAGACCTTTGGGTTCCAGGTGACCCAGCAGGAGCTGGCTGGGATGTAGACTGAGGTTGTGGTTTGGCTGCAGACTTCTTGGTTGCAGTCAGTGGAGGTTGGTTTGGAATAATCATTCGCTTATGGCCTGTTACGGGAGTTCCTGAGGAAGGATGAGTTAATGTCCCAGTTGTGGATCCGGAACCCTATAATTAATAAAAAAACAAAAAACATTGTATTATGTTACTGGAGATTGTGTATATACATATATTTTTATTTAATTTAGTTTGCTTTATCACAGAGAAAAAAACAAAAACATCTTTACTACATGGTAGTAGTAAAGGAAGCGAATCACTGGAAAAAATATATTTACAGCACCAGTGACAAGTGGAGCAAAGTCACAAAAGATTAGCAATTATTCAGCAAAAATTAGTAGGAGAAAAAGAAGAGTGTGAACGTCCCACTTCCAGGTATGCATCTGCTCTGTCAGTATTGGGTACACTTAGCCTTTTTGGTATAATGCATACTCTTTACCATTTCAACTGAGCTGGGGGCAACTGTATAGTAAAACAGTCAAATTAGGTTTGGAAAATGGCAGTCTTCACTATAATTGTTTACTGTAAGCTACAATACTGAAGTCTATTAATTCTCTGACAGAACTTTAGTGTAAGTGTTTGTCCATTTCAGTCATACTCTATCTAAATAAAAGATTTATAATGGCAGCACTTATTACTACTTCTATATTTTGTACCATGCAACTAGCACCGAAAAATGCTGTTCAGACCTAATAGCACAGACAGACTATTCTGAAATAGTAAATGTTGCCGAATGCAGCCATGTAGCCAGAACATAATGAGCTTTGCCACGTGCAAGCTTTGCCACAGTGAAGTAAATAGACATAATATCCCAGCCTTCACCTTGATAATCAACAGAGTTTGCATAGCCATTTCAATTTCATGAAGTCACACTGATGGCACACTGAAATCAGCTGTTAGACAGAACTATCAAACGGGGGCAGTTGCTAGTAGCAACTAATCAGGTCAAGACATGTCAAATAAAACAGAGAATTTGACTGTTATATACTTCAGTTTAGTTTCAGGTTTCATAAACTAAAGCCACGTCTACAATTATTATTTATTACATTACAGAAATACAGGAAAATAATAAACAATGTTGTCAAGAAAAAGGACACATACAGTAGTAGGCACAGTGTTAAACCATTATCATATAATAAACCAAAACATCAAAAAAATTGTAAAAAAATGTGCTGTGCTGTCTAAGGTAAAACAACTCATTGTTAATCAAATGTAACAGAAAGAAAGGAGATCTTCATTTTTAGGAGATACATCAGACAAAACAGCTCAAACGCAAAAAAATATTGAACATTAACAATAAATACATAAAAACCTAAATTCATATAACCACAAGCGTAACCATCAAATATTGCAACACCCCATGTAAAATTGTAAGCTAGAAAAACATGTACGGCTCCACGATACTGCATTATATATGATGTATATAAAAGGGATCCCTTTATAGCGATTGTATCTCTGAGTCCAAAAAGGCTCAATTCCAAAAAGGCTTTACATTGAAAAGCATGTAAGAATAAGCTGGATAGACATCACGGTCTTCTCATATGTTCTATAGACTGGAATAAAAAGCTAACTTGTATCAAGTCTAATGAGAGCACCAAATAGGCCTGAGAGTCTAAAAACATAATAATGGAATAAGTTCACAAACGACAATACAGAACAATCAACACGTTTCAAGGGACTCCAAGACCTCTGCCCTTCTTCAGGACTATTTTTTGGTCTCAAAAGAAGTTGAAAAAAAAAATCAAATGGGGTTCCTTACAGGACAATGCTGCCAACCTGTAGACCAAGTCTAATCTAAGTGTGGGAATCAAACATGGGGGGGAGGGCAACCCTATTGACTGCAAGTATGAATCAGTGAATAGCAAGCGGATGTTGAAAAAACAGACAAGGCCAACAACAAACGCCTTACACTAGTGAAAATAAGCCTTCCACATGCGATGATAATTCTTGCAGGAAGTAGATTTATAAGTTTTAAACATTGTCAGGATAACGGAGTCTCAACAGTCAAGCTGTCAAAGCCAGAAACCAAAAAGCAGGGTGGAAGATCGGTCCTTGAGATAACAGATCTGGCTGAAACCAAGGAGCGTTGACTAACAAATGAATGAGGATGGCATATGACACTCTGGCCAATCAGGAGCTACAGGAATGACTGAGATGACCTCGCTTTCAATCCTTCAAAGTAGACGAGGTAGTAGCTTCAACAGAGGGAAGGCATAGATTTGGACATACTAATCCTATGGTGCTAACAGGGCATCTACCGCACATCCCATAGGATCCGGTGTCCTCGAAATAAACATGTCCAGTTTCTTGGTGAGCGAAGATGCTAATATATTCACATACAGCGTTCCCCAATGCAGACATATGTCCCAGGACAGCTCCGGATGCAGGCCATTCTCCCAGGTCCAGGCGTTGTCTGCTAAAAAAAATCTGCCTGCCAGTTCTCCACTCAGAGAATGTGCACTGCTGAGATCCCTGAAAAATAAAGCTCCTCCCACGACAAAAGAGATTCTACCTCCATCGCTGCTGCAACACTTCTCGTACCCTCCTGATAAACAAATGTGACAACTGTGGCTTTTATCAATTGACTGAGCCTGTACCGGATGGCCAGAAGTTGGGTCCAGTGAAGAAACACAGATAAGTCACCTGCAACTTCAGGATGTTGATCAGAACTCGGTCCTAACCCAGAAGGGTGGCATCCATCATGACAATCTTCCAGCATAAAGGGAGAAAGAACTTCAACAGTGCTGAGGACATAAGCCACTACAACAGTGTAATTTTGGTTTGAGGATGTAACCGTAGTGTGTCTTGTCCAAAGACTAGCCTTGTTCTAAGCTGTGATGATGTTCCACTGTAAAGTTCTGGAGTAGAATAGAGCAAATTGAACTGCTTCAAAAGGTGGATACCCTCAATCCCAACAATTACTTGCAGCCCGAAGGGAAGACCAACATCAGGATTGAAGTTAAAAACATGACTCTGCAGTTGGGTTAACTTCCCCTGGGATAGGAAGACCTTGACTTGAATATGGACTAGGAATATATCCAGGAGAAGGCCCAAGGTCTTTAAGTAATGTGCCAGGATCAGAGATGATTTCATAAAGTTCAGGATCCATCCAAACTTTTCCTGGTTAAAATCTAACTTTGTTGAGACACACCTCTGAACTGAATTTATTTGCACACCTATTGATTGGAATGCTGGTAAGTGTTAGAAAGTCCTGCAAATAAATAGACTATACTATCCACAATTAATTTTCGAAAACAAAGAAAGGCAAGGCTGTGATGCTAACATGACAAAGCAATTCTACAGGTATATGTAAAATGACAGTGGGAGAATGATAACTTTATATGTAGAATTGGAAACCATGAGCCTTGACAAAATTCATACAAAAGTCAGACAATATGAATATGTGCATGCAGACATTTTTATCCAGTTGTAAAAAAAAAACAAAAAAACACACACTGAAAAAAAATGAAGGCTAATTCATAGCAATGTCCATTTATCTGCAGTTATTGTTTTACATCAACTTTGCTGGATTCACCTGAGATGTAACCCCATTAAAGTGACACTAAACTCAGGAAATAAATCTTAAAAATGCATTCAAGTACCTTAACTATTCACAAAAATTTATTTTGTGTGTCACTGAGCTGTAGATCCTCAAATCATCTCTGAATTGGTGCTGACACTGTCCTTCCTTCTGGAGGGTGACTACTTTTGTTCCCCATGGTCCCTGTGTGTGGTGTAAAGTAGCCACCACTCCAAGCTCACTTCTGTGATAGACCACAATCTCACATTTAGTTTACTAATTTGTATTGAGATTGTAGTCCATCATGGGAGCGAGTTTTGGAGCACTCTCCAGAAGGAAGGACAGTGTCAGCATGAATTCACAGATGATTTGTGGATCTACAGCCAAGTGATACACAAATCAGATACATTTTTGTTAATAGGTAATGTACTTGAATGCATTTTTAGGATTTAACTCCTGAGTTTAGTGTAACTTTAACTGTTGTGTGGTTTTCAATGTGCACAATTCTATAAATTAATTTCAAACATTTCATAAAAAAATCAGGTCACAGTTTGCCTAAAAAGAGAATTTCTCTACATTTTCTAAAAAAATGGGCATTTGATATTTTTACATGACATAATGTAAACAGGAGAGGTCTGACTGCTCTGGGAAAGCTTTAACATCTGGTCAGTGCAGACATTATTAGTGAGGCATGACAGACCCGTGTCTTGATCCTGCAGAATGCACTGAGCTGGAGTGATGTTGCTACAGCAACGAGGCGTGCTACATTAAGCTGTATCTTACTGCAGATGTTCTCAACTTATTAGACATGTTTTACATGTTCACATAATGTGAAAGTGCTACTTTAACTATGAACAGAGTTATAGAAAGAAAATTTCTACACTAATTAAAAAGTAGAAGATTACTTTATCTGTTGAAGTCACTAAACACAAGCAAATATCTACTTTCTAGCCAATAATGAACAGACACAGAATAGATCGACAACCTCACAAACTATGTACAGTATCTGCTATCTATAATTTTAATAAATGTCCCATGATCAATCTGCTGCATTGTTAATGTGGCGTACATTTTCATGTACAATAATATGTTAAAGTAGGACAAGACAATTATTTTGTTTTTAAGGCTGAACTCCAAGCATATATATAAAAAATACCAGTTTTGTATTCAGTTATATATTCTTAATTTGAGGGAGGGTTAGAAGACATCAGGTTTGTTTTGAAGTTCACCTGTACGTTTGATGACAAAAGTATTGCGTTTCTTGACATTATTGCTTGTAAAGACAAAACAGGGCTGCTATACACAAAGGTTACATAGAAAGGAGACTGCAGATAATTATATTCTAATGGCATCAAACGGTCATCCACAACACATAGTGAGAAACATTCCCTATGGACAATATTTAGGAATAAAAATGAACTGTACATGAATGAAGGATTTCGAAAAGGAAGCTCAGAAGTTAAGACAAAAACTGTGAGCAAAGGGCCATAAAGACAAACTATTGATACAGGCCTATAAACGGGTCAAATACAATGTACAACAACATCAAAGACGGGACAGAGGTAGTGACAGTAATTTAGAACCCCTGAGA